ACCCGCGACCCACCCGCGACCCACCCGCGATTTACCCGCGACCCACCCGCGACCCACGCGCGACCCACCCGCGACCCACCCGCGACCCACCCGCGACCCACCGCGCGACCCGCCCGGGACCCGCCCGAGACCCACACGTGACCCATTGCGCGACCCACCCGCGACCCACCCGCGACCCACGCGCGACCCACGCCCACGCGCGACCCACGCGCGACCCACCTGCGACCCACCTGCGGCCCACCCGCAACACCTCTGCGACCCACGCGCGACCCACGCGCGACCCACGCGCGACCCACCTGCGACCCGCCTGCGGCCCACCCGCAACACCTCCGCGACCCACCCGCGACCCACGCGCGACCCACCTGCGACCCAGCCCGCGACCAACCCCGCGCCCGCCCCCTCACTCTTATCCGCATCAGTGGGGTGCTGCATATATAGTTTTTACACTACAGCGGCTGCGATGGGGAGGACTTCCCGATTACGATAAGGGGCGGAGCCGGACGCGAGCCATTCTAATGACATGTAGGAATGGATGTGGAGGATGCCGAAGAGGAGGATGGGGAATATGAGGATGAGCCGTGCGAGGGAGGACGACGCGTGAGTAAGTTGATGGATGAAGAGAAAGAGAAACGAGGACACATGTGAATATTGAGGGGATGGTGATGGATGTGATGATGAGCATGACGATGCCGACCACGCAGGAATGATGCGGATGGCGAATAATTGCGGTGTGCGGAACGCAGCGGGAGTGCAGTTGCGAGGAAGGTGGATAATGATGAGGACGAGGCTGATTGGTGTGGGAGCAGGACACTGATGATATTGAGGGCGAGAAAGGTGACGATTTGGATGATGAGAATGATCAGTAGGGATGATGATGATGATGATGATGATGATGATGATGATGATGATGATGATGATGATGATGATGATGATCATGATGCTGCTGATGGCGATGATGGCACGGCGAATCGTGCTGCTAGTGGTGGCGATGATACTGTTCATGCTGCTGATGTGGGTCAGGACGAGTTACGAGGTGAGTGGAGGAGGGGTTGTGATGACGATGACAATGATGATGGCTATGTTGATGCTGCTGGTGTTAATGCTGCTGCTGCGGCTGATGCAACGATTATGATTGACGATTGGCCACTGGTACTTGTTGATGTTAGCGATGATGGTGGTGGTGACGGGTAGGGGGGCCATGTGTGCAATGGGAAGATTATGGATGCAAGTGCAGTTGTGGGCGCAGCCAGAGTTGCGCTTTCCCCTTGTCCTGGCAGGGCCGTGTGGGGATTACCATTGCAGAGCTGGTCCATGGAGAGCAGCCCGTGGTGCCCCTCTCTGTCCGAAGAGAAAGATGGGGGAGGGTGATGCCAAGAAAGGGGGAGAGGGGTGATTATCATACGGACAACGAACAAGGAACAGAAGAGGAGATGGAGGATGAGATGGAGGAGGAGGAGGACGGGGAAGAGGAGGAGGGGAGGAGGAGGAGGAGTAGATAAGGAGGAGATGAGGAGGAGAAAACGAGGAGGGTATAAGGAGGGGATGATGAGAATGAGATGAGGAGGAGATGATGATGATGATGAGGAGGAGGATACGAGGAGGAGGAGGAGAAAGGAGGAACAGGAGGAGGAGGTGAGGAGGAGGAGGAGGAGATGAGGAGGAGATGACGAAGAGATGAGGAGGAGATGAGGAGGAGATGAGGAGGAGATGAGGAGATGAGGAGGAGATGGTGCGGAGATGAGGAGGAGGAGGTGAAGCTGCTGCTGCTGATGATGATGATGATGCTGCTGCTGATCATGATGCTGATGATGATGGTGATTATGATGATGCTGATGATGGTGATGCTGATGACGATGATGACGACGATGATGATGCTGATGCTGATGCTGATGATGCTCCGAAATATGATGCTGATTATGATGATGATGTTCATGATGGTGGTGGTGGTGATGATGCTGATGATGGTGCTGAGGATGCTGTTGGTGATGATGCTACTGTTGGTGATGAAGATGATGATGCTGATGCTGATGCTGCTGATGGTGATGCTGCTCATAATGTTGATAATGATGGTGGTGATGATGGTGATGCTGATTCTGCTGATGATGATGGTTATGATGAGGCTGATTATGATGCTGCTGATGATGATGTTGTTGATGATGCTGATGATGATGCTGATGATGACGATGATGACGATACTGCTGATGCTGATGCTGATGCTGATGATGATGATGATGATGATGATGATGATGATGATACATGATGACGATGATGATGATGATGAGGATGATGATGATGATTATGATGCTGATGATGATGAGGATGATGATACTGAACATCATGCTAATTATGTTCATGCTGCTGAAGATGATGCTGGTGATTCTGCTGCTTCTGATGATTCTGATTACGATGATGATGATGCTGCTGCTGATGATGATGATGATGATGATGATGAAGATGATGTTGATTTTGATGGTGATGATGATGATGATGATGATGATGATGATGATGATGATGATGATGATGATGATGATGATGATGATGATGATGATGATGATGATGATGATGATGATGATGATACTGATGCTGATACGGATGCTGATGCTGATGATGATGGGTGAAGAGGAGGAACAGGAGGAGGAGGAGGAGGAGGAGGAGGAGGAGGAGGAGGAGGAGGAGGGTCCCGGTCCCCGCCCCCTCGTCCGCTCCTCCGGCCCCTCCCCCCCCCCCGGCATCCTCCTCCGCGCCCCCCCCCCGCCAGACACCCGCCGTCTTCGCCTCCCCCCCTCCCCCCTCTGTCCCCCGTACCCTCCCACCTCCCCCTCCCTTTGCCGCCCACCGTGGCCGTCCGCCCACCACCCGCCACCTGTCGCCCGCATCTCCTTCGCCCCTGCGTTCTCTGCCCCGCGCCTGCCCCCTCTTGTGGGCTCTCCCCCTTGAGCCGCTTTTGCCCCCTCGCTCTCCCTTTCCCCTCCTCTTCTCTCCCTTTCTCGCCTCCGACTCCTGCTGATGCTGTTCCTCCTCGTCCTCCCCTTCGTCCTCTTCCCCTTGCTCATCCTCCCGCTCTTCTGACACCTCCTCCTCGAAGATGCACAGCTTCCTTTCTATGATTGCGCGTATCACCATGGTGCCGTTATAAGGTTTGAGGTCCGCTATGTCGCCAGTCGGCTGATAGCGAAAATTCGGCGCAATGGCGAGAGCGCACCTAGCTTGCCCCTCCCCCTCTCTCTTTCTCTGCCCCTCTCTCTCGTCCTCTCTGTCTCTGTCCGTCGGTCTTTGTGTCTGTCAGTCTCTTTCTATCCTTTTCCGCCTCCCCCTCCCCGTGAATTCAAGCAGGTGCAACTCGTTGCATGATCTGGAGATGCCAGACTGATCGCCAACACGTTTCCCACTGTAGTGACAATTTTTTAGCAGTTTTTGATATTTTGGCGTATAGGGCATGCATAAATCAGGACACGTGTTATCGGATAGCAGCGTTGCGAGTTCATATGTGCGATTGCTCACCATGTTCGTGGTAGTGGATACTCATCATGCTTTGCGCGCGTGGGCAGGAGGATCACCATGGTTTAGGGGACATTTTTATTGGAAGCTCTCCAGAGTACTCAGCAGGGTATGCAGTATTGAACGGGGCGTGAAGCAAGGCGACCCTCTAAGTTCTTTCTTATTCAACGCGCTGCTCGAGCACGTGTTCTGGAAACTCAAGCCATTTTGGGCCCGAAAGGGCTTTGGCATTAGATTGGGGCATGCTTACCAACTTGTGCTTTGCAGACGACGTACTTCTACTTGCGCCCAACCTAAGACAATTGAAGTGTATTCTTCGTGATCTCAAACAAGCAGCCTCACAATGCGGGCTCGAGCTACACCCAGACAAGAAGCACATCCTCACCAACATAAGCCGGAGACAGGGGCGAACGATTACTTACGTGAACATCGACGACGACAGAACCGAAATCCTCAGCGACGAACGAAACACGAAGTACCTCGGCTGGAAGCTCACATTCCACGACTATCACCACGCCGAGCTCGCCAACAGGATCGCAATGGGATGGTGCAAATCTATCCAACTACGCGGCGAATTAACAAGCAAACGGTACCCCCTCCACAGCAGGCTCCGGCTATTCAGTGGCACCGTAACGCCGACACTTATGTACGGCTGCGCTTCGTGGGCTCTTACCAAAGACATGCTCTTGACATTACGACGCGCACAGCGACGCATGCTACGACTCATTGTGAACGCGCCGAGGCGCCGGGAGAACACCCAACATATTGCAGCAGCCGGCGACGACGCCCACTCCAACCCTGACCGAGCAGACGACAGCACCAGCGACAGCACGAGCGACGTAAGACGGAAACTTGATTTCGACGACGTCGGACACGACGAAAACTTCGAGCCATGGGAAGAGTTCATCCGCAGAGCCACGCCACAGATCTCGCTGCCCGTTTTCATGTGGTCGAGTGGACAACCATCTACCACAAACGACAATGGCGTTGGGCAAAACGAGTGGCAACGCAATCGCGCCACAGATGGACAAGACTTGCGGCAGCGTGGGAGCCAGAAGTCTATGACACTCGGATAGCGCAGCGCAGGCATGGAAGACCACGCAAGCGGTGGTGCGACGACATATCCCAATTTGTACAAAGTCGAATTGGGAGAATCACTCAACATTGGTTGGGTTATGCATGTGATCAGATACTGTGGGCCACTTGGGAAGACGACTTCCTCCACCACATTCAGTCAGCGGGCTCCGGCCCACCCGCGCTGCTCGTAGGGGCCCGTTGGCCGGCCGGCGGACTCAGCCCGCTCCGCTCCGCTCCGTTCTCCAAAGTACTCCTCACATGCGGTGAGGATTAGCTGAATGTTCAGGGCCATCTACAGAGGTGCCCCCCGTCAAACATGTGAGGAGCGGTTGACTTGGGTTCTGGTGAGCTCCAAGTGGCAGCGGCAGGGGTTGGGGGAGGGGGACGGGAGGAACCGAAGGGAAGGAGGAAGGAGTCGGGCGATA